AGCTTATACTCAATCTCATTCAAGTAAAATTACATTTCAACGCTGTGTGAAAACAATTGACGTGTGGTTGGTCCTGATGCAATCTAGTCTGCTACACAGCCGTTTTTAGAGTCGTCACGTAACGCTCCTTCCCACTAACGGCTGCTGAAAACCGAACTACATTCCTTTCCCGTGATTAGCCAATTACAATTCAGCTCCCATTTTCTGGAAGGTGTTCGCGCCACGTTTGCGGTACTATGACTCCTCCAATCACAGCTTTGCTTTTATCGGTGCCCCATGTGTGAATGACAGAATAATCAAAATCAAAAATCGTCGCGTGAAAACAAGCAATTAACTACAGTAGTGTTGTCGTAGTCGACTCCTATTCAAAATTTAGGATAGCCTGCGATCAAGCTCTCCTATTTGGGCAAGCGAAGCAAGCCTCACGAAAACGCGCGAGCGAGGGGCCGAGGAAAGGAGAGCTTGCAACGATCTCTCATAAATTTTCATTTCCACCCCGGAAACCCTGGGACTCCGCGAAGCGTGAAAACTGTCACCGCAAACGTGCAGCAGGTTAGAAAAGTGACAACCGCCTGTCAAGTAAGTTTAGACAGCCACAACCGCCTGTCAAAAAAGTTTAGACAGCCGAGGACGCGCAGAATTATTTATTTATAAATCGCTTTCGCACAGCATCAAAGCAATGTTTTTAATCACTGATATGTTTTTTTTTTCACGGGGACATCGAACTTCAACGTGTCCGCTCGGATAAGAACTCACTACTTTGATTCTCGTTTCGTTTACTTTTGAAAAGTCGTCCATACCGCAGTGTAGAAGACTACTCCCCATCGCAATCACCAACAAAAACATATATTTGTCCATCTAGAACTGGAGAATAGCGTTTTCCTGCACTTGGTTCCTTTAAGTTTTACTCCAGTTGCTTCCAACTTTCTCTTTTCGTTCTTTACGGTCAAGCTACACAGCTACACTGTCAATGACATGTTTCTGAATTTTTCTACCCAGTAGAATTCAATCGGGCGAAGAAACCGATGTTGGAAGACAGCGCTTGAAGTAATATGTCAAAAACGAGTGCGAGTGTTTCATCAGGGGTTCCAGACACTGAGAAACAGATGAAAGCACGAGGCCGCAGGCCGAGTGCTTTTATTGTTTCGAGGGATCGTTGCAAGCTCTCCTTTCCTTTGCCCCTCGCGGCTTCGCCGCTCGCTTGCGCGTTCTCGCGAGACTCGTTTCACTCACCCAAATAGGAGAGCTTGCTCGCAGGCTAAATTTAGGACATAAGCAGCAGCAGCAAGCAAGTCGAGCAAATTGCGATGCACAACATGGATGTGCTCATAAAGTTGCTAGGTATAGTTTCGGGAAATCGCTCATCGATAATTTATAAGATTGCTTTTTGAATCAGTACCAGTGAGCACATCCGGCACATTAAATTCTTCATTACATATCAGTACATATGCACGTTAAATGAAGAACCAACCGATCCTGGTAAAAGTCTTCTAGGCCTATCAAACCTTTTTCTCACTTGGAACTTTCTTGACAGCTTAAAACAAACTTTTTTGCAAATTAACCTTTTCGTTGCTTGAAAACACAGAGTCCGTCTAAATTCAGCGACGATTGATTGATTTGTCGAAAACTGAGAAGCGTGCTCGCTTCCTAGCGCCCTGCGGCTCACGTATTGTCAAATCTCTTATACATGATTGGCTTGTTCGTTAGACCACAAACACAAAGGGAAGAGAATGTAGTTCGGTTTTCAGCAGCCGTTTGTGGGGAGGAGCGTTGCGTGACGACACTAAAAACGGCTGTGTAGCAGACTAGATGCAATCACGAAGAGGTTATTGATTAAACAAACAAAGCTACAACTGACGTTCCACGGTAAGCTTTTTTGAGAAAAGTAATTTCGCAAAACCCACAACGCCTTGCATCTGACACATATTTACAGTAAGCTAACCTCGGCAAAACGCAAGCTTAAATTTGAAGATAGCCACTTACCTTCTCCTTTCCGTTCGTCTTCGTTCAGTCGACGCCTTTTTTGCTTTGCTGCTTCTCTCTCCGTTCTTCGCCGCTCGTCGCTAATTCGGCTTCTATTTTCTCTTGCTCTCTCTCGTTCATTCTCCAGTTGCTCTTCAGTGAAATTTTGTCGCCTTTCCCTTTCTCTTTCCCTCGTTGCTCGTCACTAGAATTTTGCCTCCTTTCCCTGCTTCTTTCTTGCTCTCTCTCGCGTTGCTCATCAGTAAAAATTGCGCCTTCTTTCTCTATCTCTTTCGTGCTCCCTCTGGAGCTGCTCGTCAGTTAAATTGCGCCTCCTTTCTCTATCCCTCTCCCGCTGCTCGTCAGTAAAATTTTACCTCCTTTCTCTGGCTCTCTGCCGCTCTCGCTCTCGTTGAGCTTGGCTTGCTTGCCGCCTACTTCCTCGTTTTCTTTGCCTCTCTCTATCTCTATATTCCAAACTAGAGGACATAGTTGATAAAATATGTAAAAAATACGGATGTAAAAACATTTTCCGTCAACCGATACGAAAATATTTCGCTGGACTAAGTTGTTTTTACTTCACAAAACGCGGGTGGCCATAGGTTTTCGCGCCAAAACAAAACTTATCATGTACACAGACTACCCAAAATTCATTGGTATGCCTGCGGTGCGGACGGACGGCGGGCGGTCAGTGTACGGTCACGTGATTACCAAATTTTCTGGGATGGGCAGATTACCTTAGCTATGGGGCTCCGCCCACGCACGCGCGAGCTCCGCATCAACTCATTCATTTTAACGATGGCAATTACTGGAGTTGGTATCTACAGCATTGAGGCTGGGGGATATAATGTATTTGATTCTCATGCTAGAGCTATGTATCATAACAGTCATAGTGAAGGGACATGTGTATTGTTAGAAATACAATCCATGCATAAATTAGTACAATATTTTCTCATTCTACATAGGAATGAGGATATATATGAACTTAAAGGTGTACATATTGCCACCTTTGAACCTCATCTTTTCTCAAGCAATGTTGAACATTGTAGTATATCAAATGTTAATAGTTACCAACGTTCCTGTAAACAGTGCATGTCTGCATTGAAGATGTGCATATTTTCAACCATTGTGATGAAATGGCACGATTTTTGTTGTGGATTGGGACATACTGTATAAGCTGTGTGGTTCAGCAAACAAGTGGAGTAAAGGATTTATCTTCTCTGGTAAGATATGACAGTTGTTTTGCTGCAATAAGGCATGTTCAAAGTATCATACCCGTAGTATGACCACGCCCAAATATACGCTCACACAGCGTCTTGTTCGAATTATTTCCAAGACGCCATTTGATGCTTATACTAATCCTATATTCAAAAGTTTGCGAATGCGGAAATTTTCTTAGATTTACTTTTTTCAAGTTGGAAAGTGTATTTATTCCTATAAAATTGGCCTACTTCCTAATGTATTCAAAGAAATATTTTTAAAAGCAAATCAAGTTCATTCTTATAATACCGGAAATTCAAATACTTTCCACTTATTTCCTGCACGAACAAAGACTTTTTGGAATAAGATTTCAGGGTCCTAAATTTTTCAATTCACTAGATAACAATATAAAAAGTGCTGCTACTATCTCTCTTTTTAAATCTAGGTTGAAAACATGTCACCACTTGTAAATAATACTTGGTTTTTGCTGCTTTTTGTTTATTTTGCTTTGCTAGCTTTTTATCTTAATTATATTTCAGTATAATTTCGCCGCTTATTTATTCATTATATTTAGTCTAGGGTCAGGGAGGGAGCTCATAGAATAAGCCCCAAGGTTTCAATTTACTTTTAATTCTTTTACTTATCATTTACGTCCCTTTAATCTTTAACTAGGCATTTTTGTAATATATTGAATGTCTGAATATATACCATCTTTTTTGGCAAATACAATAAACTGAAACTAAACTGAAACTGCAACTGAAACATTGCTAGACAATGTACGATCTTAATTTTAGTGCCCTAAAGAAAAAGTTAAAGCCAATAGCCGAGCCACCTAGTATTTTTTACCGCTATTTGCACAAAAGATTTCCATGATTTACGCCCCACGTAAGTCAACAAAGCCATTGAAAAGTAAAGCGCTAACTCTACTTGAAGACCTTGTGTATTGCTTTATTAGTATATACACACTCAGTGATCTTGGTGATTCAAGGAAACTGATTGGTTCGCTATCTCGGACTATGACGTTATGTTCACCGCGCTAGGCGGTGAATATAAATCAAAACAAAATCGCTGTCGTGAACCAGCTGTTTTGCCAAGTTTCAGAGTCAGTAAGAACTTTTTGAATTAAAAAACACAAGAACATCCCAGTGTTGGTGATTTTGAAGGTACGAAAAGACTTCATGGTGTTTAAACAGCGTGACTTATTGCGGAGTGATTTACTGTAGTTGACTTTCCATAGGAAGCAATGTTTTTGCCACTACAGAGGAAAACAAGGCCGCATTGTCACTGTTTTGTGAACTCGGGATTTCCTCGCAAGACCAATTTGTCTAGAAATAGAGGTTAATTTAAACTGTAAGTGCCAGCAAGTTAACATGGCAAAACATGGCAAAGAACACTGCAGACAGACAACGCTAACCTCGATCGTAGCCGCTGTTGACAGCATTTGCATGAAGCGACAACATAATCTCACTCATTCACGGTGAGTTGACAGAAGCAAGTAGAGAGAGGGGAGGTTTTTAAAATTTCGACGCTTTCTTTCGAATCATTGATGCTAATTAAAGCTTACAAAAAATTAAAACTATGATTTGCCACGTTTGAAAATACTATAAAGATCTAACATTTGCGCACCTACTGTTTGCGGCCACACGTTCACGCATAAATTCCCCCGTCAATCAACCTAATCGTTTTTTTTTAAAATGGTTTTCTTTCTGATCCTGTTGAGATCACTTCGTGTGGATATACTTAAACAATTATTCACCTCAGACTCAATTAATATTGTTGAATAGTCCCTATTCAACAATATTAACTTCGCCTTCGGCGAATAATTGTTAAATATAAGGTTACTTTCTATAGTCTGACACCAGTTTCAACTGGCTGTTGATAGAGATCGCGTTAGACAAGGCATCAAGAGCAACTTGTAATGGCGAAGCTAAAGCTACACGACGGTCAATCCCTACGTGTTTCATTTCTCCAAAAATAATCCCAAAACCAAACAGGTTCTCTACAAATTCCAGTGTCTCCTGCGCAGCTTTTTCTCTCTCCTTCGCAGCTTTCTCTTTCTCCGCGGCAGCTTTCTCTCTCTCCTTCGCAGCTTTCTCTTTCTGCTCCGCAGCTTTCTCTTTCTCCTGCGCAGCTTTCTCTTTCTCCTCCGCAGCTTTCTCTCTGTCCTCAGCAGCTTTCTTTTTCTCCTCCATAGCTTTCTCTTTCTCCTTCGCAGCTTTCTCTTTCTCCACGGCAGCTTTTTCTCTCTCCTTCGCAGCTTTCTCTTTCTCCTCTACAGCTTTCTCTTTCTCCTGCGCAGCTTTTTCTCTCTCCTTCGCAGCTTTCTCTTTCTCCTGCGCAGCTTTTTCTCTCTCCTTCGCAGCTTTCTCTTTCTCCTCCGCAGCTTTCTCTTTCTCCTCCGCAGCTTTCTCTCTCTCCTTCGCAGCTTTCTCTTTCTCCTCTGCAGCTTTCTCTTTCTCCTTCGCAGCTTTCTCTCTCTCCTCCGCAGCTTTCTCTTTCTCCTCCACAGCTTTCTCTTTCTCCTCAGCAGCTTTCTTTTTCTCCTCCATAGCTTTCTCTCTCTCCTCCGCAGCTTTCTCCGCCTGCTTCGCAGCTTCCTCTCTCTCCTTCTTAGAGGCTCTCTCAAAGACCACCGCTCCCGAATCTCCTTCTTCTGAAAATGATCTCTGTGAGTGATGCTTAATGCCCAAACAGTTCTTGCGCCAAAGATCCTTGAGTAAAACGGCTGTGTCTTCTCTGCAAGAATCACAAGAAGGGCGAGCAGCGGACTTTGAAGTTGGTGTCACACCACACCTCATTGCACAATTTTGACAGAAACTAACCCGCCTAAACGCATTGACCAAACGACCGTTTGCTTTGTGAAAGGTGTCTTGAAGTATTGTTATATCAAAGAGAATACCTGGGCTGGTAAAGTCAGTTGTTCGACCACTTTTACAAAGGTCGCCTACCGACTCTGTGGCATTTAAAACTGGACTGCATTCACCGTTGGGTTTGAGTCCCGTTCCAATTATTTGAGATATCTTGCTAGATTTTAATAATTCGACTTCTTTTTCAGTCAGTTGAGCTACGGCAGCGTCAATGAAGTATTCAACACCATTCCAAGTTTCATTTTTGCAAACACCAGCGACGTACTTTCCTATTACTCTGGGTGGTTGCGCTAAGCCTTCCTCAAGACAGTGTTTATGGAAGTCAGTCAACTGTACGTTACTTGGTGTCTTCTTATCAGGGTCGAGATGATTGTGTCTGATCTGATTAAGCTTGTCAAACCTCGCTGACAATTCTGCTGTGTTTTTAAGGAACTTAAACGGAATTCTTGGCTGGTCCCAAGAACGAGTGTTATTTATCCACACCGAATATTCACTCAAGTGATAGTTAAGATAGTTCAGGTAGTCATTCTGTCCAGGATGGATTATTTCTGATTCCGTCGTGGTTTCCATCACATGATTACAGGACAGTGCATAAAAAGTACCACTGCTGCTGTCTTTTACAATAGCGCCCAAAGTGCCAGATTCTTCTTTTCCTTTTACACCGATACTTGTTCCAAAACGGAGCTCATTGCATGGCTCTTGTGTTTTCGTTGGTGTCCACATCTCCATCGTTCTGTACCAAAATCCATTCACAATATCCACTGGGTAATGCCCAAGAAAGGATGGAAAAGCAGACTCGCCAAGCGGAATAAAGCCCTTGCCAAGAACAAAAATGGTGATACAAGGCGTCTCCGTCTGCTTGGAATTTTGGATTTTGTAAGAGGCTTGCACAGCTGTGATATTGCGATGTTTGACAAGCAGGTGAAGGTTACTGTTGATTGTTTGGTTGATGTTATGAGCGTCAGTCGCATTTAATCTCTTGGGTTGGTCGAATGGATACTCGACGTATGTATCTTCCAGCACGTAAGCAGCGTTGTTATACAGATCTGAAAATTCAAGTTTCACTTTCATTTCTTTAAAGTATTCTTCAGCGGAAGATTTCAACTCAGTTGGTAAACCAAACTCGCTGAACACAAACAGCTGAACCACCACTACTTCGCTACCGCATGGCAAGTATGGCAACGCGCGCATACATTCTTTATGACTAGCTTCGAACTCAACGGTTGCTATTACAATGTTCTCAATCATTTCATGTCCCAAGGCTCCAGGTGAATCCAAGCCAGCCTTTTCCAATTCTAAAATAAATACAAAAGAGGAAATAACGATGAAGGCCCAGAAAACATCAAAGACACATTACATTTGTTATCATAACAAGGACAGCCTCCTCCAAGGAGAATACGGTAAAGTAAAAGAAACGTTTAACACATTGATCTTACAACGTTTAAGAGCTGATTCGTGTTTGTCGTGTTTGCATTCAAGATCAAGCTTCCAAAAATTTTGAAAATGATATAATACAACTATTAGTCAACGAAGCAAAATTGACTGGTTTGGGAACTAAGAACTCTGCTACTATTCAACAGGTTTTGACTTTAAAATTTTAAGTTTCTGGGCCCTTCGAGAAGCGGGCCCCGGGACCGGAAGTGAAACCGCCAATTAGTTAGAGCACGTGACCATGACGTAGAAAGAAGAATTTCTTCAGTATCTGACTGAAGAGATTATGAGTCCAAGGATAGTTCTTCCCTCTGTTCATTCTTCTCACGTTCTTCAAACGAAAGTATATAGGACAATTCGAGTTTATCAGAGTGTGAAGGAGCACAGCCTTGTTTGTTTCAGTCAGATATGAGTTAAACTCGGATACTGACTCGACAAGCGAGTCGGAAGAGGAGTAACACAAGCGATTGCAGTGTTCATTACTGATCGACGGTATGATTGCACTTTCGATAAAATAAAATACATCAAGTAATAAATTTCTCTTCTGATGGAGTGGCAACGTTTTCTTCGAGCATTGTATCGATCTAAAGCCGCGTAATGAGTAACAAGTAAGCTTGAGCCATAAAGTACATAACACTGGTTCTGTTCAAGTTCCATTGGTTACCGATAAAATAACAAATTGTGTATAAGATACTGCTGTTAACCTACAAGGCTCTGAATGGATTAGCACCACCATATATTACTGGCCTTTAAGATACATATATACCTCATCGTAATCTTAGATCCTCAACCGATAAGAAATTGAAAATAAAGCATCATAATTTAAGTTTGTATGGTTATAGTTCGTTTTCGGTTATAGCGCCATCTCTTTGGAACTCTCTACCAAAGCTCTTGAAGAAATTCATCAGGCTAGTAAAGTTAATATCCATTTAAATGTTCTCAAAACATAGCAAAGTAAAGAAAAGTCTTCGTATGATGCTGTCAGCCATCTTTATCAAAACTTGAAAATCGGCAAAGGTGTCAGAAGCCTTAAATGGGCTAGTGAAGTTAATATGCAACACCGCTGACAAAGTACGCTGTGTAAAACCACTGAAAATTTATTGGACACCCCGCCAAAAAAATCCTAACTCGAAAACCCAACTCGAAATCCAACTCGAAATCCTAACTCGGTAAATAGGCAACCTCGTTTTGAAAGCCTCGTGGGCAAAATCGATTGCGCTACCGTCTTTAAAACATCACAGCCTTCTTTTACAACCTCTAAATATCTGTTAAAATGATTTTGGGAGATACGGCTCTCTTCTTTTTTAAATAATGTAATTAATGTAAATAATGTAATTTCGAAGGCATACAATTTACTTCAGAAAAAGTAATGCGTGAAAAAACATAATTTTCACCATGTGCGAAACCTTCAAATCCATTAAAGTGCTGGTGGTTGAATGTTAGAAGGATGGTCTACATATTCCTGAAGAAATTTCTTTGGGCAGATGATTAATAGCGACGCGAAACCTTTACAAAATCTGTTAAAAATGCAGATATTTGACCTTCCGCGGTAACTTTGAAGTTGCGAGTCGGACAAAAAATTTAGTCCCTGCAATTGTCTAAACCCATATTAGGTTAAAATAAGCAGATAAATAAGGTAGGTATGCCAATGAATGAGCAAAAAATCTCAGTTTTTTTCTTACCATGCAGTTTTACCGATCGCAGGCTTGTGATCCCCGAGCATGTCTATTAAACTCTGATATGTAAATAACGTGTTCTTTCTTGTTGTTTGTTGACAGATCTGTCACCTTGGGAAATAACCTAATGCGTTTCGCAGTAATTCTGCAACACGTTATTATGGCCTATCATGTACAACGACCTAATATAATTACAAGTAAAAAAGCAGGAGGAAGAAAATCGTGCTACCCTTGTATCTTGCGCTTGCGACACCAATCTTTGATAGTGCACTCTCGGTCTAAGCTAGTACACGTGCACTTACTGTACGACGATATTTACAGCGGGCAAATAATATGGATAATTAGGGGGGGACGGGGGGGAAGGGGGGTAAAATGAGCGCACCGTCGAGCTCTAGTTTATCAGTTATTACCGTCACGAGTTATCGACGTATAATATGGTTGCTTTACCTTTTTTTAGATATTATAAAGCGGGCGGTGTTTGGCTTAGACTGCGTAACATGCAAGGCCGCGCGAGGGGAACACGCGAAGGGGAGAGAAGGCCTCCTCTCCTTTATTCTCATCGTGCGTCTTCGACATTTCTTCTTCCCCCCCCCCCCCCCCAAANGCAAGGCCGCGCGAGGGGAACACGCGAAGGGGAGAGAAGGCCTCCTCTCCTTTATTCTCATCGTGCGTCTTCGACATTTCTTCTTCCCCCCCCCCCCCACAAATGGCCCCCCCTCCGCAGTCCCTGCTTGGCTACGATGAGGGGAACAAACCTGGAACCTTTAAGCGCGTGTTAAAGCACGGAATGAACCTGCCGGGGACGGACCAGGGGCTGAGGAGATAAAGGTTCGTACGTGCAATGAGTTCGAAGATGTGCAACAGCAGGCACATACGCAAGTTCCAAATCGTGATAAGTTCGTCGATGCGCAAACTACATTATGTCCCTCTTTGACGATACGGCGAACCAACGTGCACCTGGACAGTGGCAGCTTGACGACTGGACACGCCCTTCTCCCTGGGGATCACTGTAGTCTTCTCTATCTAGGCGGATGCCAGTCAGATGGCAAGCTGCAGACCTGACTGTAAAGTTGCGCTTAACCGATCGGTTGCTCTCTTTTATGCGCACGAACTGTGTGCTCGTTATTTATTACTTGAACCACACTGGTCACCCCACCCACCCTCCAAACGCTTAATTTTCGTACGCTATAAGCATAAGCGAGCAGAATTCTACTAGCATGAAAAATGATGCTTCCTTATTTTCAGCACTAGAGTAAACTGAGTAAAATAAGACGGCCCAAGATTCTATAAATATCGACGCCGCAAGCGCTAGTTAAGACTGTGGTAGGACGCCCTTACTTTTGCTTTATACTGGCTTTAAAGGCATCATATTGCAATAGAATTGCACAACACATTAGGATATTTCCAAACTGACAGAAACCAGGACAACCAAAAAGAATAGCGCAAACAATAATATTTGACCCTAGGATCGGCCCAAGGCGGGGGTTGGAGGGGGAGGGGAGAGTTGAAGTTACCGAGATGATTAAGGTATTTCTGTTTTGCTTTAATGGAAATTTTTCATTAGGGGATTTCTTTGGCGATAGGAAAATTTGGCAAACATAAATATATACAAAGAGGTTTTTTGCTAACTTGATTTAAGTAGGAATTTCAAAGGATATTCAAAACAATCTGATTGGTGGAGTACCGCGCGCTCACAATGCTGGCCGCACAGTTCAGACTTTCAGATGAGAAAAGATAAATTCAGCAGATGGTACAAACAGTTACTTTCCATTTTTTGGCGTGCCATATCATTTAATCCTTCACGGAAAAATTTTAGGGCTAGGAATTATTTTTTTATTATTATTATCATAATTTTGTGTGTGTGTTGGGGGCGGGGGGTTAATTTTCTGTCCTACGATTTTTTTGGTTTCGTTGGGAAACCGACAAGTCTGTGATGGTAAAACTGCATAGTAAAAAAATTGAGATTGTCTGCTCATTCAATGGCATACCTATAACATGTAGGTTAGAGATAAAAATTTTTTCCAAACAAGTCAGAAATCATGTTTACGTAACGCAATCGAGTCTAAAACGGCTCTTTCACGTGAGACGTGACATGTCGAGCGAGCGGGAATTTCGCTGTGGTTTGTCTCAGTTTCATTGCAGAAATGAAGTCAAACAAGGATACAAGGTACAAACAAACAAATTGTAGACCTGATTATGTACTAGAAAGGATAGATATTCGGTGCAGATTTTGTAAACTTTGCTGTTTCGTGATAAGAACTTGACCCAAATGTTGACATTGGCAATGTGCACCTGAAGGGCAGGATAAGAGTTCTTTATTCACGGCTGTCAAAATGGCATGAAACTTTCCAACTAATGTATATGAAGCATCTACGTATCACTGTGGGACTTGAAATTGCTTCAATTAAACGTATTTTAGCTGAAACATTTGTTGCAGAATTGATTTGTGTCGCGCCGAGCCTCTTATCTGTCAAGGTCAGCAAGGTCAAATTACACTTTTAAGTGTATATGAAATGAAGTTTTTGGAACGCAAAGTTTAAGGGCATTTTTTTGCCCTTGAACTTTGCGATCCAAAAAATTCATTTCATATGTTGCCCATTGCCGGAGCTTTGAAAGCATATTCTGAAAACTTAGAGATTGCTTTTTAATGTGGAATGTCTTTTTTTGTTTGAAATCATGTATCGGATGTGATTTTAGGCCTTTGAAATTTGGGATCAGTTTAGTTTTCTGGGCAACCGAGCTCGATACGAGTTTATCGAGCTCGATATGTCAACCGTCCTCGGTTTGTCGATACCGAGCTCGAGGCCTCTCACTTTTCCGGGGGGACAAAGTAAAAATGGTTATCGAGCTCGTTGACTTATTGAGCTCGGTGAGTTATTGAGCTCGGTTTTTCAAGAGAAGAAAAAAGAGAAAAAATAGAAATTAAAGCAATAATAACCACATGGAGTACAAAATCTAAAACGCTTTCTCGTTCTCAATTAACACGCCAGTGTTTAAAGTCCGGACAGCATCTAGAGCCTTAGCTTATATCGGGGTGAATAATTTTCATAGCGCGTTTTTGCAGTCTTTCTAGGTCTTCGCTAAGATAACCAGAATGGAGAGAATGCATGTAATGTAAAATAGAAGTAGCTCTCTTCTAGC